TATGAAATACGTGTTTACAGCCAGTAATATATGCAACAATAATAATAAATGGCATTTACATAGGATTTTAGGGTATTTTTCATGTCTCAGTTGATCTTCGCAACAACCCTATGAAATAGGAATTACTATTATCGCATTTTAGAGATGAAGAAACTGAAACTGAGTGAGGATAAGTGACTTGTTCAGGGTCATGTAGCTAGAAAGTACCTGACACATTATTCAAACTCTGGTCTTCCTGACTCCCTGTCTACCAGTCTATCCACTAAAGCATTTAGTTGCCATGTATCCCTGATTTCGGTGGTAGTTTCCTCATTTGGAATTCACTATGTCAATGAAATAGGTATTATTATTAATTTAAAAAGAAGAGTAATAGTTCACATGCTCATAAATGCTTGAAGAGTTACAAAGAATTTTCCACACAATAGCCTTGTGAGATGCAGACTCGTAGGAACATCGATTTAGAATTTTTTTTTCTTTTTTTTGGTGAGGCAATTGGGGTTAAGTGACTTGCTCTGAATCACACAGCTACTGAATGTTATGTGTCTGAGGTCAGATTTGAACTCAGGTCCTCCTGACTCCAAGGCCTGTGCTCTATCCACTACACCACCTAACTGCCCCTGGATTTAAATTCTTAACCCTTCATTTTACCAATGAGGAAACCAAAACGAATAAAGGTTAAAGGTAACATAGCTATATATGTATGTATGTATGTATGCATGTATGATGTTATGTATGTATGCACACATTGATATATATATATATAATTAGATCTTTGAAAAAGTCCATTAAGTATCAAGTGATATAAATGAAAAATGTACATCTATGTTATAGACTCAAACTTTCTAATAAATGGAGTGTATTAGCTCACCCAATTTATATTAACATCACCCTTTTTTATTTTTATGTATTTAAGATAGAGGTGATATAGGGAAATGAACTCATATAAAGATATTTTGTACATGCTGTACTTTAAAAGATAGATTTCCTACAAACTTGAACAAGTAATTATTGGAATGAATGGCTTAGATCTTGACTCATATAGTTTCTGAAGGCACAAATTTTACTGATGACCTATTTCATGCTCTGATGCAAACTTTCACATTATAAAAGGTCATTTGGTAAATGAAGTATTGATATGTTCATTGGTTTCAAAACAGAAGAAAGAATGATGATCTCATTCTTGAGTGGGCAAAGATAAAAATATCAGGGCATTTAAATTTTTTTCATTAGTAGGAAACAGGTTCTTACATCTTATCTCAAAAAAAATCTCATTTTCATAAAACAGTATTGATAGAAACAATCATTATTAGATAAAGATATATGGAACTTTAATAACATAGTTATACTTCCTTACAGCACTGGTTAATACATTCTGTGAATACGTTATTTATGCATTCTTGGTTCTAACAGTAAAAAAAATAACTAATTTGAAAAGAAATCTAAAAATACCTATTTGTCATACATACACATTAGTTTGTGTTTTGAAACTGCTTCACAAGGATAACCAAAACAGAATTTTAAAATTCCCTGGCTGCACAATGTTTGCCACAAAAATTTTCCTGAGGTTTCTTGTTGTCTCTAGCTCTCTTTCTTTTTCTCTCTTGCTCTCTTTTCTTCCCTTTCTGTCTCTCTCACCCTCTGTCTTTTCCTCTCTTTCTCTCTCCCCCTCTCCTATCCTCCTTTCTGCTCCCCAAACTTTAATGTCATTAATTCTTGTATTTATTTTCCTCCCAGAAAGGAAGAACAAACAAACAAAATACTCTCTGCTAGTGAATGAATGTTCATGTATGGAGAGGAGTAAAAAAAAGAATATATATATATATATATGTGTGTGTGTGTGTGTGTGTGTGTGTGTGTGTGTGTGTGTGTGTGTGTGTGTGTATATATATATATATATATATATATACACGCACGCGCACACACACACACAGAGAAAGTGCTTATTGTGTTCCAAGCTAAAATACAAAAATCAAGCCAGTCCCTGACCTCACAGAGCTTCTATTTTTCGATAGAGCAAGAATTCTTAATCTTTCTTTTTTCTTTTTTCTTTTTTTTGGTGCTTGGACTACTTTAGCAAACTGGTGAAGTCTGTGGACCTCTTCTCAGAATAAAGTGTTGAAATTCATAAAAAATATTTAGGATTACAAAGGAAATTAATCACAGTGAAACATGGTTTCTCTGTTTGTGTCTGTCTTTCTCTCTGTCTACCTCTGTCCTTCACGAATGCCAAATTAAGAACATTTATAATAGAGGGAAACAAGACATATAGGGGGATAGTGGCCAGGGCCAATCACTTTCTTACTGAAAGTTATGGACATTGATTTGGGGGCCACAGGGGATAAGACCCACCCACACCATCTAGAATTGCAACATTGATTTAATCATGTTTCCAGAACTGGAGATAAGAGGATGGTGGTAAAGAGAGGGCAACAAAGGAGTTGGTAAGGCTCAGAAGGAAATGGCTGGAGAATAGGGAATGAAGTGAAAGCCCACGAAACTAGTAAGCAAGGAATAGTATTAACCAACCTGGACAGTGAGGCCTCAGGGGAAAACTCCAGGGCATGATGTCTGGTATGGGCTTCAAGGCAGCTGGGGAGGGTACAGAGGAAAAGGCCAGAGAATAGGGAGTGAAACTGACCATCATTAATGTGTACTCTTAATGAAGTTACTGAGGAACTCCAAGTTTGAATGACTTGCTCAGGGTAACAAAGTCACATATATTGAAGGAGGAACATGACCCCAGGTTTCTTGAACACAAAGTTTCTTTCCATTATTCTAGACTGCCATGGTCTTTCTCTGACTTTTCATCATGAACTAGAATCACTGACTTTGGTCAAAATGGGAAATCTAATTAAGCAGATATTATTCACTGACCAATTTTCCAAAACAGAGGGAAAGAATGACTGGGAACTGTTCTTTAAAAAAAGAAAACTTCTCTTTTGCCATGACCTAAACAAAAAAGAACATGTAATAGGGGAACATTTGCAATTGAGACAAATTGGCTAATGTTTCAAAGAAAGAAAATCTCTTTTTGTTGTGTACAATGAGTAATTATTATTTTAACAATAGTAATAGCAACAATTCTCATGCATATAAAGCTTTAACATTTTAAAAAATATTTTTCTCGCTAAAGCCCTATGATACACATAGGTTCCCAAATCACAGATTTAGAGCTGATAGGGAGTTTAGAGTTTCTCTAGTCCAGCTCCTTCATTTTACAGATGAGGAAACCAAGGCCAAGAGAGGTTCAATGACTTGCTCAAGGTCATACAGTTATTAAGTGGTTCATTATACATGAACTGTGTCAGTTGATATATATGTTTAAATGTTTAACATTAAACAGATTTCTTGTGCAGAGCTTACAGCAAGTAGATTCATTTCAGATTCATTCTTTAAAGACTGGACAAGGAAATAATGAATCTCCTGATTTCTATTTCAGTGAATAAAATCTGTAATTATGAAGCAATAATTTGGCATTTCCGTTTGTTTCCATTTTTTAGTATTCTAATTCAGATCCTTCTTAAAGATCATTAGATGATTTCTTTTGTATAATTTCAGAAGGAACCTTTAAAAAGTGTATGAGTTAAAATCTATTTAAGATTGAAAGAATCAGATTGATAAATTACAGTTGTTTCCTTTTATGGAAGATCCATATTAAAGTGGGTTCCATGATATGTGAAGATTTTTGGAAAAAAACAATATAACCACATATTATGGGGGTGAAGTTCCAAAACCAAAATTAAAGTGAAAACCAGGTATAGTTAAAATTTCCCTTGAAAATCCCTTAAGGTCACCCATAGTAATTTACAATACTATATATATATATATATATATATTTTTTTTAAAGTTATAGTTGGAAAGGAGCTGAGTTCTCTTTAAAGGAAGGTAATCTGTATCAGAGAACTTTAGACCTGAGCTGTTTGCTATAGAAATTGTAATGTAAATTATATTTTTCACTAAACCCAGGTACTCTGTTGATCAAGGTAGAGGGAAAAACCAGTTCTTCAAGTAGAAGGGGAGGGGCACAGGTAAATACTTAACTGTCAGGAAAATTATTAAAGGGAAAATACTTGAAAGAGTTTCACACATATGCTACAGATCATAGGTACTTCACACATCTATGAGATTGGAATCCTAGTCATGCAACTTTTACTCCTTCTGTGCTTCACCAATAGATGGGAATCAGAACACCACCATAGTGGTATTCTAGCTTACAAGAAATAAAGGTCAACTAAAACTCTCTCTAATATTACCTGCTCTACTCTAAGTATAGGGCAGCTTGGTGGCAGAGTGGAAAGAGTGCTAGACCTGGAGTAATCTGGCTCCATCATATTAGTTGTGCGACCCTAGGCAAGTCACTTAACCCTCGGTTCCTCATTTGTATGATGAACTGGAGAAGGAAATGGAAAACAATTCTAGTATCTTTGCCAAGAAAACCCCCAATTGAGGTCACAAAGAATTGGACATGACTGAAAAGACTGAACTATAACCCTGACTTGGACAACAACATGAATTAGATTCAGCCCAGGAACAGCAAATACAGTTCTATTTTGAGCCTACTGAGTAGAATTTAGGATTCTGTCAGTATTATTTAAAGTATTACATCTCCCTCCCTCTGTTTCTCCCCCCCAACCCCCCTTCGCGCGCGCTCTCTCTCTCTGTCTCTGTTGCTCTCTCTCTGTCTGTTGCGCTCTCTCTCTCTCTTGCTCTCCGTGTCTCACACACATATTTTAGTAATATTGCTGATCTTGTAATTCAAATCATGAAAGTTTCATATGGATATAATATGACATCAGTATAGCAAAAGAAAGAATGAAGCTTAAGCATTTTTTCTGATTTGATTAAAACAAAAGGAAGGGCAAAAATGTTATATTTCTCTTCAAATGAATCAGTCAGGGTGGGTGCATAAGAAATACCCCTGCACCTAATGACTAATAAAACAAAATTTACAATAAGATTTGCATGCTCTTATACTGTAATGATTATCATTTTAAAACTAGCTTTTTGCCTTCGAGCTATCGGGGGAAAGACCTACAGGAAAATTACTGTCGAAATCCTCGAGGGGAAGAAGGGGGACCTTGGTGTTTCACAAGCAATCCAGAGGTACGCCATGAAGTCTGTGACATTCCTCAGTGTTCAGAAGGTAAATTAACAACATTAACGCATGGTGGGACACTGTTTCCCTGTGATGTGGAAATCTAACCCTCCTGACTGTTAATAGAAACTAATTAAATTACCAATGGAAATGGGCATTAGAAGTGGTTTATATGTGATTAATTTAGAGATTAATCTTTAAGAGGATTGTTAAATATGGAGGGAATATAGTTCCAGTTTGAATGTGAAATAATGAACATGGTTCTCTCCTGCAGGTGGCAATAGGAGCTGGCTGAGTTAAACCCCACAGAGAGAGCCTTGAGGTAGCTTCAGGAATCCCTTCAGGGGGAGGACAGGAGAGGGAGAAACTCTCTCTTTCATTCAGGGGTATGCACGTGTGCACACACACATTGCTCCTCCTCGCTTCGGCCCCTTCCTTACAATTCCCAAAGGGGCAGGTTAGGGAGTAGACCTGTTAGTCATGTATCAATTCCACTCACCAGACAGCTGCTTCTGTGGAAGCTTTGTCCTGGAAGACATCGGAGAAGAATATAGGATCGGGACAATGCAAGCCTTTTTACTCTGTGTGCTTTGGAGGACATGGTACTTGTGCTCTACTGGACATATGGGGAGCACTAAGCACAACACAGAATATTATCTGAGAGGTAACAGTAGTGGTTCCCAAGCTTTCTTGATTGAAGGCACCCTAAATTTATTTTTATTTTTTTTACCTCCTCCCACAGCATAAATGGGCATTGTCCATGCTATTGCAGTGGAAAACTGAATGATTCACAAGATGGAAGAATAAGCATTTCAGCATTATCTGTGGTTATATTTACTTAGGTAAATCTGGCTGCTAAATAGCTGGAACTATGAATTTTGTCAGAAATTCAACATTTTAAAAAACGTACATCCAAAACATGAATTCTGCTGTATTAGGAATTCAATGGGGTTTTTTAAATAAGTACTCAGGGGTTTACTGGAATGGTGCCCATGTTTTCTAGCAAGATGTTTCATTAGTTTGCTGTGAACCAAAGGCCTTGCTTGACAATTTTCCTCCACATGCATTAATTTGATATTAGGATGATTTTCATCGCTATCATTGTTGGATAATTGTTACAAAGTAATTTTTTAATTGTTCATTGATTTAAAGTTAATTTAACTTTGTGGTAGAGCCAGTTCTATTTTTGCTTTGTAAACTATCACTTTCCATTCCATATCACATTCTGTTCATTATACCTTTCTCCATGTTTTCTTAAAAAAAAAATAAACTTGCCTATGGTAACTATGAACAAGTCTGTTTTGTATGAACAAGGGTATAACAAAGCATTTGAAGTAAATTTACACATAGGACAGAAGTTCCTATTTTTAGAGGGTCTCCATTGCTACAGTTTATGTGGAAAAGTTCTGAGCTGTCCCCCAAATGTACTGACTTCAGTCAGATGACTGACTGGCTGGCTGCTTGACTGACTGACCAACATAGACTGTTAGAGGGGAAGTGAAAGCAAAGAGCACTTTTCCAGCTTCCTTTATCTTATTAGCCTATGAACTTTTGGTCTCTGAATTGTTTGCACTCATTCCTACTCACTCAGAAAAGAAGGCTTAAAATTAGGAATAAGAGCAAAGAGAAGGTTAAGGGATGAGCCTACTTCCCTCCCGACTCCCACCCCCCATATCACTACAGCTTACACTCACTCTATTTGGAAAGTATTATAAATATGAAATGGAAATAGAATGTTTGGAGCTTGGACTAATTATCTTTATAGACTAATCCTGTGGCTTGAAGAACCTGTGCTATTTGAATCAATATTATAATAAACCATGTTTTAAAAGAGTTATAGTGCAGTTTCAATTACAAAAGGATAGTTTTTTTTTGTGTGTGGAAAAACCCAAAGATAGACATTATATAGAATTTATTTAATAGCTGGGGGGAAAAAAACCTACAGATAAAAAACTTTTAACTGGAACCTGTGGTGAAAGTTTTCTACTCAGGTATATATATCATTATTATTAGTATTATTTTTATAAATAAAATAAAGTGGGACCTTTCCAAAGATATCTGCTGCTCATGCTGCAATTTGCCCAATAGTTGTCTCATCATTTAAAATACAAGTTTTGTATTCGTTTTTATGTTTCATGTGTTGGCCACCATCACCAAAATACTTGTGCCTATGTCATATTTCTAGTGAGAAATCTCTTGGAATTTAGTAAGATTGGTTCCCACAGCAGATAAGTCTGTCACTGGGACCATCCTTGAAGCCTTTCCAGCTTATTAAGACCTGCCCAAGCTTATCACTTTCTACTAATCTGTTCTGGGACAAATGATTTGATAAAGCTTTTGCAATGTTAACTTTTAAGATGGTAGTGACTAAACTAAGTCAACTAAAAGTTTTTTGAAATTTAAGTGAACTCCGTTATAAACTAGGTATTTAACATTAGATGTCAGGTATTCTTTTCTTTGAAATTTGAATCTTTTACACATAAGTTCTATTAACTGAAATGACAAATGTTCTCTCAAAGCATTAAGAACTAAGTTACACATGATGTAAGGGAAATACAACTTATATTTAATAGACACAAAATTTGACACATAAAACTCAATCTAGAAAATAAGCACTAAAAAATAAAATCATAAGCATGATTATACCATATATCTTTTAAAAGTTTTTCAAGTGAAAGAGTTTTGTCATTATTTGTTGTTCTCTACCATATTCTTAAAGTCCCTCCACTAATGAAATCCTGCTAATACTCACTATATATGTTCCCTACTCAATTACATTATCCATTTTAGGAAAGAAATAAGTTAACTCTATGTTTATGTGGTAAAGTTTGTGAAATGATGTTAACAACTCAAAAGAAGTTAAGAGAGGAATTGGCATGAGCTTTACACAAATAAACATCAGAATGATTTTATTTACCTGAAGATATTCTTTCCTAGCACAATATAATAAAACTTAGTAAGGGGATTAAAAAATAGCATAGGCACAGTTACAGAATATTTACAAATCACTGCTTTAGTGTATAAACACAGATCATCTATGTTTTTATACTGGACAACTCATGGAACACAAAACAGATCTGTTCATTTTTTGTTTATTGCTGCCATCAGAAAGATGTTAAAGTTGCATCAGCCTTTATGGGCTTTTTTCTTTCAGTTTATGTCCATCATTTAGGTTATATCTTTTCTTACCAAAAGAAGGCTACTTAAAAACAGAACACTTTATTTGGCTTGTGTTTATGTGGCTGAGTACAACATTTTATTTTGATCTTTTAAAGTGAAGGATTCATTTTTGCTGCTATAGAAATAGAAAAGATTTTATTGATGCCTTTAAAATAAGTGAGGCAGGACCAGTAGCAAAGTAGAAGGGTCATACTTATTCTTTTCAGTTTTATAGAACTATTGCCACCTGCTGGGGTACTTTAGCAGAAAGTCCTTTCAGAAAAGGATTTTTGCTCCCTAGGCCACACCATTCCCACCAAATTTGATTGAGATCTTGGAATTCTGAAATTTTGAAAAGTGTGTGTGTGTGTGTGTGTGTGTGTGTGGACTTGGAATGGGGAAGAGAAAATACTCCTTTGGTTTATTCTTCTCTCATTTTCTTGCCATGCATTGGATTACTAAAGGTGGTCCTCCTGTGCCTGACTAGAAACATGGGTTAGGAAAAGAGATTCCTAAAGAATCAAATAATTAAAGCTACTCACCTTGGGTAAGGTGATCTAGCCATATTTCCCTTCTTCCTCCTATTATTCTCTTTGACTCAGCCAGGTAAGTGTCTAGTAGAGAGTCCCCATCATTCTTTAGAAAGGGAAGAGGGCAGGGAAATGCTGAAGGGTATGACTGATTACACTTCAAATTGAGTTTTCTGATTGTGTGGATGTGTGTGTGTGTGTGTGTGTGTGTGTGTGTGTGTGTGTGTAGATATATATATATGTATATGTATTTATATGTTTATATGTAATATAAATAACATAAATATACATATATATATGTGTATGCAGTTAGATCTTGAATCTTAGGGATAGTGTCCAAATTCCTTAGTCTGACTTTTAAGACTTTAAGAGTGATGCCACTCTACCCAACCAATTACATTTATCACTATTCCCCATTGCACCCTCAGCTATTAATCCTGTCTGTTCATTCAGTAGGCTCATTCCCTTTACTTAGGGTGTTTTCCCCTCAGCACCTTTGATCATAGTATTTTCCCCAGCTGTCTCCTTCCTTTCCCCGACTGTCCGGTTTTTCTGCCTCCTCTCTTCCTGTCCATATATTCTAAGGCCCATCTTAAGTCATGCCTCCGCTATCATGCATTCTCTGATCTCAGCTGCCCATTTTATCTTGCAGAACTTACCTTTATAACATATTCTGGCATGTAATCATAAACTGCTGCGATGGACAATCACATATCATCTCCTGTTATGTTTGTAAATCTTGCTCCTCTAGCTAGATTATAGGTTCCCTAAACACAGGAGCCTATATTTATATTTATTGTTGTACCCTTTCCCCATACCTCTTCTCCATCTCTCACAGCACTTACTATAATGCTGAGTACAAAGCATGTATTCAATAAATAATAATGAGATTGACTGTAATAGCCAACATGCATATAGTGCTTCATTTTACAAAATGAATTATTTATTATCTCACTTGGTCCTCACAATGATAATGTAAGGGACAATTCTTGTTATTGTGTAAAAAATATATTGTTAGGGAAAAGTTACATCTGTAGGAGATAGACATAGGAGACGTTCATATTTGAGCATTATATACATATCACTTCCGTGGGAAGCCTTTCCATTGTCTTATCCTAAGAAAAGGAGGGAACAAAGAGAACTTCACTTTATTTGTATAAAAACACCCCGCAAGGTATAGAAGGATTGGAACTAAATAATTGTGTGAACCATTCATATGCAAAACTGAAATGTGCTGACACCTGACCTATTTGAAGGGTATCATTGTGAAAATGAGCCACGTAGAGGAGTTGGGTCAATCCAAATGCCTTCAGCAGTGTGCTGTTAGCCTCCCTCATTTGCATAGTAGGTACCTGCAGATTTCAGAAGGCTGGAGCTGCTTAGTATCAGGGTGAAGGAAAGAGTGAAACAATGCTTTGTCTTTGTACAGATTAGCCAACAATGAAAGGAATCAGAGTGGGAAAACAAAGTAGTGATGTGTTTATACCTGAAACACTTTTATTAAAAAAAAATGATCAATAAAAGCTCATAAATTTGCTGAAATCTAACCTTCAAGTTTTACTTGCTTATCATTGGGGCAGATTAAATTTGAAGATGGTCAGGTTCTCTCCAGTTTAATAGCAAAAGACACCAAATTCACTTAAAATAATAGCAGTAGACCCCAAACAAATTATTTAATGGTTACAAATTAATTTTCAGGAAAGATAAAGCATTGATGTTTTTCTTCTGTATGTATGGTATGCCATAGCATCATTTAATCATTTGAAGAATCCTATGTTCAGTTAAGGAACGGTCAAGACAGGAGACCAGAATATAGTGGGTTTAGAGTTCTCAGTGTAACATTTGTGAAGCAACTCCATTGTCCAAAACAGACATATTAGTTTGCTAGGTAAGCTCTTTATGAATAGGGATTGTTTCATCATTGGTCTTTTTATCACCAGCACCTAGCAAATTTATTTTTCTGTGAAATTTGATTCAGTCAAAAGGCTCACTTAAGGATTTAGAAAGTCACATGTGGCCTTAATGCTGTAGGTTCCCCACGCCTGACCTAGCACAATATCTGACATACAACAAGTGCTTAATAGGTGCTGCTCACAGGTTCAGTTTATACCTTTTAAGAGACAAAAGCACAATGAATTAAACATAGGGAAGTTTCTATTATGTGATTTTGTAATAACAATTAAATTATTTACAAGAAAAATTCCAGAGAAATCCTATTTGGGTCAACATTATTATTAACAGAGTCTGTGGATCAATGGGATCAATATGTCCATTGGATAACACATAGTTTCTGACACAAGCGAGTATTCTGACTTCCTATACTGTTTGGTTACCTTCCTGTGACCTCTACCTTGGGTGCCTGGCTTTTATTTTATTATAACCTATTGGATCATTATAGGGTGAGTAACATGCTCTGTCAATAATGGAGATGGTAAAGAAAACAAATGGTTTTAGGACTTCTGGGAGAAAGGTATCCCTGGGAGAGGCTTAAATTCTCAATCTGCTAGACGCTTTTTACATGATTAAGTTCTGATTTTGCTCTTGATCTGGTTGAAACAACCAAATCTTAGATACCTAGTGCTTCACATTCAGGGTAACCTGACACCATCCTAAATATGTTTTAAATTTAAAGTCTTAAATTTAATTTCATAATACACCACCAACTATTACACTATTCTGAATCTGACTGAAAGGATATTTTTACTCTAACATTAAAAAAAATAATTTTATAACATCCTAAGCTAGACTACTGTATTAAAGTATCATTTAAAAAATTTCATGGTTGAAAAGATTGATGTTTTAATACAACAGTCATGTCCTTTTTTGTGCTGTCTTAGGCTAGTAACATGCTAATATTTTCTTTTCTTTTGGTAGTTGAATGTATGACTTGCAATGGGGAAAGTTACCGAGGTCCCATGGATCATACTGAATCAGGCAAGATATGTCAGCGCTGGGATCATCAGACACCACACCGACACAAATTCTTGCCAGAGAGGTAAAGATGTCTCCTGATTTTGTGTTGGCTCTACTTTTGAAAGTTCTCCTTATATCACCAGTTCAAGCACTTTGGCATTCCCACTTTGGGGCTGATGTTGATGATATCAGTAGACCAATAAACATAGAGTCAGAAACCTCCCCTTAATATGCATGATACTTTTGACACAGTTCTCAGGACCATCAGAGTTCTGGGAAAAGTTCATGATGAGGACATAATTACAGAGTTATAGCTCCATCTGGCACTAACTCAAGCCCCCAGTGGTTGGAATTCTCACCATCAGGATAGTTCTGGGGACAATGGTATCAGACAGGGTATGGTAGAACATTTACATGACTCATTTCCCTAACTCTTGCATATCTTGGGGGAAGGGGGAAGTGTAGAAGAGGAAGATTCATTAACAGTCCTGCAGGTCTGAACTACAGGAGCAGAGGATAAATTCGCTATTATTGTTGAGGTTGGCCTTTACGCCGTTCTAGAGCAGACAGTATTGTACAGTGAAAGGAGTGCTGAATTTAGAATCAGAGGAATTGAGTTTAAATCCCAGTTTTGCAGCTTACTACCTATGTGATCTTGGGCAAGTTACATTCTTTTGGGGTTTGGCTTTCTTATCTATAAAATGAAGGGTATGGAATAAATGATTTCTAAGTTCCTTTCAAGCTCTGAATCTATGATTCAAAGAAATAAGATTCTTCCTTTTTTTAGTGACATGTGCCATTTATGAGTCACATGTATTATTAATATAGGGTATATCTCTACAGGTGATGAGAAGTAGAGACCTAAAACAAAACAAACACAGAACTAAAGGATAGGGTTATTCTGACGAATTAGCCAGATCAGTGTTTATGTGGAAATTGTACAGTGAATGCAGATGCATCCAAACTCCCATTTTTTCCCCCCAAGAGATAGTTTGGGCCTGAATTATTCTGATAATTATCTGCATTATCCATTTCACTTTGCCTTGAATTTTTATGGTTTTTTTTAAAAGTTTCTGCAATTTTAAATATATGAACAAAAAATGCCAACAAATAATTATAAGGAAACTTCATTTCCCCCCTTTTGTTTGGCATTTACTAAGACATTTGTTTGGTCCTTTTCTAATTAAACCCCTACTTTAAAAAATGGCACCTCTCTTTTAGGTAATACCACAGGGAATATGGTAACAATTAAAATCAAGCAACAATTTCAGACTCTGCTAAGTTTAACGTAGAAGAAAGCAATATATAAGTATTTGCTTTTTTACTACTGGGACGGTGAGGACATGACCTAGAAATGCTCTATTAGCAGAATAAAGCTGTCATTAATAATGGAGCTATTGAAACATAATTTTCATTTTAAACTTAGATGTCCTACGAAAGGACCAGTTTTCTTACAGAGCATTCTATGGCAGGTCATATTTATATAATCCACTTTTAATTGTGTTCTGAGACAGGGATTCAGTTTTGTCTTTGGTTCTGGGCCACCAGAAGGCTTAAATAATTAGCAGAGTTAACCCTATCTGGCGCCCCACACTCAATAGCACATGAATGTCAACCTCATGGTTGATAGGTAGCAAATTCTAATAAAGCACAACACCAATGAAACCTCTCTTTTTTTGCCTCATGGGATCTGTGTTTAGTTGAAAAGCACTCCTTGAACAGAGGGCTGGGTGGTGTTTCCAGGCAGATTTACATGACACGTTTCTTGGTGTGCTTTGCAGATATCCTGACAAGGGCTTTGATGATAATTATTGCCGCAATCCTGATGGCAAGCCGAGGCCATGGTGCTATACTCTTGACCCTGACACCCCTTGGGAATACTGTGCAATTAAAACATGTGGTGAGTTAGAGACAAATTTATTGCTTCCTTTTCCTCTTGAGGGCTGGGTCTAAGTGGACAATTATCCACGAGATAGGTTAACAGCTCATTCCACCCATTCTTCGAATTTTACTGTTTTTTAAAAAAGAATTTTAAAATGTTTTCATTATAATCTTCACTCTTTTACATGCACATAGTGTTATTATTTTCAAAGACCTTTATACACATAATTCATAAGTAAGGTACAGGGAAAACAGGTAATGTTCTTCATTATATCAAGTGGATGAACATATGGAGAGAAATTGAGATTAATGGACATGTTCAAGGTCTCAGAGTCAGTGGAGAAATGAAAACTGAGACCTCTGTTTCTCTACTTCTGGTCCTGCACTCTTTCTGTTAAAGAACATTTTCTCCCCAGAGAGAATGCATGCGCTGCCAATGCAACCTGGGCTCTCTCTTGATGAATGACATATATAAGAATTAAGGATAATAAGCATAATAGAAACTACTAACACCTTTAGTGCACTACTAGTTAATCCTAGTCTAGCTGTCTGCTCTCATATGAGTCTGCAAAACACAATTCTAGTTCAATTCTAGCTCTCTTTCCTTCAGTATTCTCTTGCCTTCACATCAGTCTTTGCACAACAGTTTCATGACTCAATTCAATTAAAAAAATTCACTAAGCACTTACTGTGAACAAACTACTGTGATAATAAGCACTGGAAACAGAAAGCCTTAAATAAAATATGTATGTATTTAGGTATCTTCTGTGTACAACTTTTTTTTTAATACTGTGTTTTCCATTAGAATGGGAGCCTCTTGAGAGCAAGAATGTTGTTTTTGCCTGTCTTTATATTTCCAGGGACTTAGCACAATTCCTGGTACATTGCAAATACATAATAAATGTTTTTTAACTGAATGACTGACTAACTCCCCTCCTTAATACTTCTGTTTGCTACTACTAATGCTGATTTCCCTTTCCTCCTTTCTCAGTTTCATTCCTAAAGTAACTAATTCAACTCCAATCTACCTCTACCTTGGATCCTTTCCTCCTTTGTCCGCCACCATGTATCCCTTGCCAACTACACCCCTGGATTACTATTTACATGTTACCAATAAATCCTGAAGAAAGTCAAGTAACTAAGTCAACTCAGTATAGTACAAATTTATGTCATCTAACTTCAACTGTGAACTCATTGTAGTAAGATAATAATTTTATTCCTCCCTAATTGATTTCCTATTCTCCTCCCCACAGAAGCTATTCCAGACCTTTACTTCCCTCCACAAGCCTCCCCATTTCCTCTCAGCTGAGTACATTGCCTTTTATTTTTTTGAGAAAATTGAAGTTATTTTCCCTTTCTCTTCAAACCAAAAACCCTGCCACTTTCTCCTTCATTTCATCAGTCTCCTAATGACTTTGTAAGATAACTCCTCCCCATGTGCCCTTGATCCCATCACTGTCTTCTCCAGCAGACTCTCTTCACTACCCTCACTTCCTTTTTTTTCTAGTTTTCAGTGTGTATCTACTGACTCCTTCTTTGCTGCTTACAAACATGCCCAGGTCTCCCCCATTCTTAAAATAGGGGAGACCCAAGATTTTGCTATTGTCATGGGTTTCTCCCCTATATCTCTACCTCCCTTCTGAGAAAACGCTGTCTATGCTCATTGCCAGTCACCCCCTGTGTAATCTGGTTTCAGCCTCATCACTCAACTGAAACTTCAAAGTCAACAGTGTTTAGTATTTAAATACTCCTGAGATCTCATCCATTTGGGAATTCCTACACAAAAAGCAAATCACAGCCTATCTATGCCTATTCTCATCCTGTGTAACTGTGATCTCCTAAAACTTCACTATGTGGGGTCCCTAACTTTCTCCCAATATCTTGAGTGTACAAATGGAGCACTTTCTCCATCTTTCATCGCTCACTCATGTGATGATCCCATCTTCTCTTCCTATCATACAATGTCTTGATGACATCCTTTATTGCTGTTCTACAGAGTTCTTCATTGATCATATTTTGCAGCCTTCTCACATTTACCATTGATAAAGAGATTGCTTTTTACATATGTTTATTTTTAGTTCCTCAGAGGCAATGAGGTACCCTGCCTTGCTGCCATTTAATAACACCTGTAAAATGTTAGTATTGAAAAAGATGGGCCTTTTCTTTTATGGAAAGAAGGGGGGTCATTAAAAGAAATCTGCAATTCCCAATGGCAATTCTGCCTACTCTGTTCTTCTTTTTCAACTTTGTGCTCAGCTTGTTTGTTAGTATTTGTATTGTCTGTCCCAGATAAATATATTGTTGGACAAGTTATATAGTATGTCCATCTAAATGCATGTTGAAATCTGTTCAACCAACATTCTTCATTCCTTGGTTTTGCCTTTGTGTACTGTCAGGCCAAACTCCTCCAAATGTGGAGAAATCTCTTCCAGGAGACTCTAAAGAGTACTGTATACTGTGATAATCTAGATATCTGATTTATGTTCTTGCCCAGATAATGGGTAATCCAATGCCATATCAAAGTAGATTTCAGAAGTGGCTCTGAAGAAAGTTTTGAATTTCTTTTAGCCATTGTACTAGTATTTGACTGTAAATTCAGAGTTATGCAGCCAACATGTAAAAGATCTTTTGGTTTCTGGGTTTGCTGGGAAATTTTGGGTTAGAGCAAGGGAAGAGGAATTCACCTTCAAACAGGAGAACTCAAAGTTAAGCAAAATAATTACTTAAAAAGAAGGTTTCAAAGCAAAAGATAAAGGAAGAAGGGGAAGAAAATAAAAGATTAGAGAGAGAAAATGAGTGAGCCTACCAAGGTGTTAAAAAGGTGAGATGTTAACTAGATGATAAGAAGACTCCAGAGTTGAAGACTACCACAGACAGTCTGCCTCAGCTATTCTCTTGAGAGCTGGCCATAAGAACTACTTCAGTAAATAAAACAAAGGATTTGAAAACCCAATTATATAGTAAAAACAGTAATAGTAGTAATAATCACAGTAATACCAGCTAGTATTTATATTGTGCTTTCAGGCTTATAAAGTGCCTTACATATATTATTTCAATTGATCATAACAACAACCCTGGGAGAAAGTTGTTATAATCCTCATTTTAGAGATGAGGAAACTGAGGCTGGAAGACTCTTGATATCCAAAGTTCAGTTTAGTCTCCTTTCTATAAGACAGTGTAAAAGAGTAGGTCAAACACCTTTCTGTTCTCCAAGTTACGAATGAAGTGTTCCTTAAAAAGCAGAAGAGCTTCAATGTGTAAACAAAGAAGAAAAAAGAAATGAAGATGAAGAGGGAAATTCTGAAAGAGAAGAAGAATTGTTGAAAGCTTTGAGTTAAGTAAAGATGTGGGTTCTTCTCTTGGAAGAGGGAGCTATTCCTTTTCATCTAAGGAATAACCATGTGGCTCTACAGTGCCACCAAGTGAGAGATTACCCAGTAAGGGCCAAGGAAGAAGAAACAAGTCGTGGGAGTTAGTGACTACTGCTGAAGCAGCATTTGGTTGAACTAATGATAATAGAGAAGGCTGCTATATTCTTGGAGGATATGTGACCAGTCAATCAACAGGCATTTATTAAATGCATATGATGTTATAGTCATTGTGCTAGGCAGTGGGGATACAGAAATACAAAGAATGAAACTATTCCTAATCACAAGGAGTTTATATTCTGATGGAGAAGACAAAAAAGTATGTAAGTTATAATTATTTACAAATTATATCCAAAGTGTCAGGGAGGACCTCTTTACTGTGATGGCTATTACATCTTTTTTTGTAATTCATGTAGGAATAAATGATACTGCCAGAAGGACTCATTAAAAAACCTTTCTAAGGATGATGAAATTTCAGACAACAAACAAGCTTTTAAGGGCACAGGTAACTCTTTGACCACTAATAGCTGATGAAAGATATTGAGTTCAAAAAAAGAGGCAGATTTGGGAAAAGAAGAATATAAGTCACGAATATAAAATTTAGCATGATTTGGATGTTTGGATTTCTGTATTACAGATTAAAATATAGGACTGATGGACTTTTGGTCAGGGATAGAGTGGGCCTAACAAGAGATGATAAGAATATATGTGTTTGGAATCTTGTAAGTTTAAGGAAAAGGACTTTAAAAGATAAATAAAAGGAAACAGATCGTTGAAAGTAGAGAATTTTTTTCAAGAGCAGAGGCTTTTACCTTTCTTTGTACCTCTGGCACTTAGAACAATGCCTGCCTCATAATAGGTGCTTAATAAATGCTTGTTGATGGACTATATAGGAGAGAAGTATATTGTTATACTGTTAGATACCATAGGTAGTAGCTATGAGGCAGGAAGTAGAGAATAACAATAGAAAAAGCCAGAAATTCATAGGTGAAAATAGCTAGGAAAGGAGACAGAAAAAAAAATCCATGACTTCAATTTTCTATTTTAAAACTTGGTAGTGTGGTGAAAAGCCTTGAGATCATGCCATCTGAGGATCAGTTCAAAGAACTTGGCATGATGAGACACTTAACAAGACTATGCCTCTGTAGAGGCGCACCTCACAAGAGCATTTAGAGAACTGGTCTATAACTAATGTCTCTTTACTAGTGGCTTTTTAAAGATTCTGGCTAATTCTAGAGGTACTGAAAGTATACAAAAGTAAAGATTTTTAAAAAGGACAAATCAGTAGAGATTGTAAATTATAAATCAGAGGACGTGAATTCATTTTTTTTGGTCAAATTCTAGAAGGCATTCTAGGACACATTATTTGAATGGATGATTAATAAATAACCAGAGTGGTACTGACAAAGAACCAGCATGTCTGCATTAAGAATAATTCCTGGGGACATAAAAAGGGCACCTCTTCCAAGAGGCCTTTCCTTATTTCCATAGCTTCTCCTGCCTTTTCTTCAAAGGCTAGCTTGCTTGCATTCTTTAATTATGTTTATGCACTGATTTATATGTGTTATTTCCTTCATTAGAATGTAAGCTCCATAAGGGCAAGGCTTATTTTGGATTTTTCTTTGTATCCTTAGGGCTTAGCACAGGGCTT